AAGATCCATCTGACAACAGCTATGATATCCCTTGTTCCACGTCCTCTTCTGAATCCAGCTTGAACCTCTGGAAGTTCTCTGTCAATATACTGCTGCAAATGTTTCTGAATTATCTTCAGTAAGATCTTACTTGCATGTGATATTAAAGATATTGTTCTATAATTTCTACATTCTGTGGGACAAATAGCATTAACTATAAAAATTTTATTTACTATATGGTCTTTGAGTTAAGGCTTCTTTGTTGAGTTAAATTTTGGTTTACTTGATATTAGGAAAAAATTATTGCTAATTAGCTAGTGGGAAAAAAATGAGAGTTATTTTTCTTTGAGAAAAAACTTTTTTTCTGGTTATAAAAGTAATAATACAGATTATTATGGAAATTAAAAAATTTCAGAATGAAGTATAAAAGGAAGAAATACTGTGAATGATTCTACCTCTGAGATATTGTTGTCCATTGCTGTCGAGTCAATTTCAGCTCCCAGTGACCCCATGTGTTACAAGTAGAAGTGCTCTGTAGGATTTTCTTGAGAATTGACTCAACAGCAATGATTTTTTTTGTTTTGTTTTTTAAAAATCCTTCACAGCACCAGATCCCCAGATCTTTTCTTCCATGGTACTGCTGGGTAGGTTCCAACAGCCAACCTTCAAGGGCAGGTTAGCAGTTAAGCACAAACCATTCATGCCCTCTTGGGACCTGACTAAGAGGTTGTTTGGTGCCATAGAGTTGGTTTTGACTCAGAGTGACCCTGTGTACAGCAGAATGAAACACTGCCCAGTCCTTCACCATCCTCACAATCCTTGCTATGCTAAGGATTAACCACTAAGATACAGCCACAGTAAATTTTTGGTCTGTATCCTTTCAGACTTCTAAAATGCATATGGGTAGAACATTTTTTAAGTTTACACATTGTGATTTTAGTATACATTCTGTTTTGTCATTTGCCTTTGTCACCTAAATATTTTTTTTTATATCCTTAAGTCTTCTTCAGAATCAAAACTTTAATTAGCTGCTTGGTAATCATCGTATGAATCTGCATGATAATTTATATTGCTAATCCCTTTTTGTTGTTAAATACCTCATTGCTAAATTACTGAGAGTAATTTCCTTTCATGTGGTGTCTGTCTTTAGTTATCACAATTTTAAGTTTTTTAGTCCAGACAGGAAACTTTGTTTTTCAGTAATATCTTTAGTATTCATATGGAGAACAAAACTATACAGTCCAACAAATAAAATACTTTATCTTTTAAAGCTCTAAATATACATACACTATTCATTAATTAGTCTCCTTTTGTTCAATGACAATACTGACTGAACAGATCTTTCTTGGTACAGATAGTGTAGCCAGTATTATTTATGTCCATCAGCCAAAATCCTTAATGATTACTGTACCTGCGACTATTGTTGTTAGGTAGCATTGAGTCAATTCCGACTCATAGTGCCCCTTTGTACAGCGGTACAAAATACTGCTCAGTCTTGCTCCATCCACACAATTGTTGCTACATTTGAGCACATTATTGCAGCCACTGTGTCAATCCATCTCATTTAGGGTCTTCCTCTTTTCACTGACTTTCTCCTTTACCAGGCATGATGTCCTTCTTTGGAAACTGGTCTCTTCTGATAGAATGTCCAAAATATGATGAAGTCTCACCATCATATTTTATTTTATCTTTTAAAGCTCTAAATATACATACACTATTCATTAATTAGTCTAAGAAGCGTTCTAACTGTCCTTCTTCCAAAACAGATTTGTTCGTTCTTCTGACAGTTCATGGTATTCTTCACCAGCACCATAATTCAAATGTATCACTTCTTCTTCAGTCTTCCTTATTCATTGTCTTACTCTTGCATGCATATGAGCCGATTGAAAATATCACGGCTTGGGTCAGGCAAAGACACATCTTTGTTTTTAAACACTTTAAAAAGGTCTTTGGCAGCAGATTGGCCAAGTGCAATGTGTCATTTGATTTGTTGACTTCTGTTCCCAATGGGCATTGATTGTGGGTCCAAGTAAAATTAAATCCTTGACAACTTCAGTCTTTTCTTCATTTATCACGATGTTACTTATTGGCCTAGTTGTGAGGATTTTTGTTTTCTTTGTGTTAAGGTATAATCCATATTGAAGGTTGTAGTATTGATCTTCACCAGTAAATGCTTTAAGTTCTCTTCACTTTCAGCAAACAAGGTTATGTCATCTGCATATTACAAATTATTAGTGACTCTTCTTCTAATCCTGGTGCTGTGTTTTTCTTTATCTAGTCTAGCTGCTCAGATTATTTACTCAGCATATAGATTGAGTAAGTATGGTGAAAATATACAACCCTGACACACACCTTTCTTGATTTTAAACTGCACAGTATTCCCTTGTTCTGCTTGAACAACTGCCTCTTGATCTATGTACAGGCTCTGCATAAGCACAATTAAGTGTTCTGGAATTGTCATTCTTCATAATGTTATCCATAATTTGTTATAATCCACTCGAATGGCTTTGTATAGTCAAGAAAACGTCTTTCTGTTATTCTCTGCTTTCAACCAAGATCATCTGTTCCTGAAACTACTGTGATTTATTGATTTATTTTTAACTTTATCTTCCCTCAACCCCCTTTGCTTTTAGATTTCTCTGTAAAAATGAAGTTTGATCTTAAAGCAAATCCATATTTAACCTGTTAGCTTCTATGACAACCTGTATCCAAAAGGTCCCATGAGTTCATATCAGTTCCAGAGATTATTCTAAGTGAAAAGTATTCATTGTAAAACAAATTAAAAGAAATTAGCTACTTAGAGAAGTTGAGCTGACAGAGTAGTGGCATTTGGTTTCTATGCATCAGAACATTAATTGTTTTAAATAGAAGTTAATCATTATTAATTGTCATATGTATTTATTTGCAGCAGCTTTGCACAAATCTGGTTTTCTTCGGCTTTAAAAAAAAAAAAAGGATTTTTTTTTTTTTTTTTTTTGCCTCCCTTCTAAATAAGTTGCCCTTATTATTAACATTGATTTGCTTAGAAAGCCCCTATGGAGATTTTGGCCCTTGAAAAATATCCTTCCTGGTGATGCCCGCTCTTTCTTGATAGTTACACTGCTGTTATTGACTGAATACAAAAATCAGGGAAGAGGTAACTATCGGGAGGAAGTGGGAGGGGAGCTGTTGCATCGGGATAAATTATAGTCAATGTCATGAGACAAAGTGTATGTGAACTGCTGTATGGAAAGTGAAGTTGCTCTGTAAATTTTCACCCAAATCACAATGAAAAAAAAAAAAAATCAAGTAGAGGCCTCTTTGAGATTGATACAAGAGTGGGAGCAGAAAACAGACCCAGAATTGGATTGGGAAAGAAAAAAAAACAGTCCACAATGGGGGGCAGATTTAGGGTTCAGCCCATTACTCTGGGTTTGTCTGGATCTTGATCACACATGAGTAAGTGCATTACCTCTGAATCAATAAACGTTCCCAAATAGAGTTTTAATAGATTTAGATTCAAGTAAGATCTTTTGAGCTTTGTAGTTAAAAATATAACTTTTATCCTCTCTTATGTTTTCCCTAAAAAAATTTTAAAAGGGTTATTTTTTAAGTAGATAAAATTTTGTTTATAATATCATTATGGCGTAGTGGGTAAGGCATTTGGCCGCTAACCAAAAGGTCAGTGGTTCAAACCCACCAGCTTCTCTGTGGGAGGAAGATGGGGCAGTCTACTTCCTAAAGATTTACAGTCTTGAAAACACTATTTGGGGTTGCTGTTAGTCAGAATCAAATCATTGGCAGTAGGTTCATTTTATAGTTAATTAACCTTACTCAGATACTTGGCATGAATATAGTATGTTTGTTAAAGAGAGGTTAAGATCAGTGAGAGGGGAAATAATATTTTTGATTTGGGAGAATAAACATTTCTTCCAAATAAATATGTACAGATACTTCCTGTAGTAACTAATGTAATTATAATTTTTTTCAAGTTACTTCTCTGAGTTTTTGGAAAACAATGGCCCCTTGGACATAAAAGACAGGGTATTCTCCAATGAATATCGATTTTTCCCAGAAGAGACTCGACAGATAGTACAAAAAGCAGGAGGTTTGAAACAGTTTCTGCTGAAATGTCCTCGTTTCGTTGTGATCGACAACTGTATTGCACTGAGGAAAGTTTCATCACGGATCAAGAAAAAGGGAAAGAAGAAAACTGTTCAGGAAGATGTGGATGAACTTTCAGTCATAGAAGATGATCTATATTTACCATTTTTTCTGAACCCCGATGCTGGGGAAATTACACCAGCGTCAGATTCATCTTCAGCACCAGCTTCTGAGGATGTGACGCCCGAAACAGCATCTGCTAATTCCCCCGACCCAGCTTGCAAAGATGCGGAGACCAAATTGGTATCTGAAGATATTTCCAGACCAGTTTCTGAAGATGGGGAGCCCAAACAGATCTCTTCTGATCCTCCCCAACCAGTCTCTGAGAATGCAGATCACATCCTAGTCTCCTCTCATGCTCCCAAACCACTGTCTGAGGATGTGAAATTAGCCTACTGGCCTCAGCTCCGTTTGGTCCCAGGCTACTGCACGTATCTTCCTTTCCAGGGGTATGACATCACACAGACACCACCAGCGTACATAAATGTGCTGTCAAGTTTGCCCCAGTATGCTGGCATATATACACCTTTGGCCAACATTTCTCAGTGTCAGCTGCAAAGAGCTGCTCCAGTGGTGCCATCTTTTGTAACCCATCATAGTCCAGATCCCAGAGCAGCTGCTTATTTTGAGGGTCATCGCATGAATGCTGAGAATGCCTCTGGTAGCCAGAATGCCTTCAAAACACAAATCCTTGAGGGCTGTCTGGGAACATCAGTGAAGTCAGACTGCAGCTTAGGTAATGGTGACATAGCGCTCAATGAATCTGGCAGAAATGGTGGTCACGGTGGAAAGTCTGCCACTAAGGAGGAAGGAAATAGAATCAGGACCAGGGCAGTCACAGCTCGTCCACCTACCCAAATGGCTGCCGTGCAGGTAAGACAAATAGGAAAAAGTCATCTTAATACTGAAGTTAAGTTTTTCTTTTCATCTTTCATTACCACTGTAGTTACTAAAATCCTTAAAAGTTAGCTTTGTAATTAATTTAAAAAATGAAAACATTTTTGAAATATGGACGCTATTGTAGGACATGACAGATGATCTTGTGAGAAAGAAGCATGTTGTTGTTATATGCCATCCCCATAGTGAGCCCTCCTTGGGTTCCCGAGGCAGTATCACTACGGAAGTAGATTGCCCCATTTTCCTTGCAAGGAGTGGCTGGTGGGTTTGAACCGCCAGCCTTCTGGTTAGCAGTCAAGTGCCTTATCCACTGTGCTACCAGAGCTCCCTTCTAATAAATACTATTCTTCCCTCCTCAAATTCTGCGCCGACTGAGAAATAAGATAAAGGAGTCAGCAGATGGAGCTAAAACACCATCTGAATCCTTAATAGAGCCATGGCAGAAGGATGTGGCTTATAGCTGTAAAAAAGCGTATGTCCTAACAGTGACCCTCACATCATACGCACTTGCCCATACAGTTACAGCAGTGCACGAAGTCTGCTCATAAGACTTACTACATGGAGGAGGGTAAGGTGGAGGGGGGAATGTGTCTCGGCAGGCAGCCAGGTCCCAAGAGGTAGAAAAAAGAAGAGTCTGGGGTACATGTGCCATTTCTTCTGCCAAACCAGGGGAGGAGTGAAGAAGTTAGAAGATTCTACCAGATGAAGAGAACATGAGGAATGGGTCTAAGACTTCCTTTCCTATCAAGCATAAGAATAATTTGAGGTTCCTCTATCCTTGCCTTTACAAAGCCTGAATTCATTAAATCTTGAAAGGATTTCCTCTCTCCTCATTAACGTTTCTTATTTTCTAAGGAGCTTTGAAAAATTATGTTGAAGAGTTAGTGAATTAAAACCACTTTCAGTTATATTGATTCTAAATGATAATTCTTCCCTGATATAGATGTTTGTAGAAAACATGGAACATTATTTAAATTGGCAAAAAAAAAAAAACCTTAAAAAAACTGTAGACAAATTTTAAAATGTTACTACTTGATGGTCTTATTTTACTAGTGCAATTTATCAGATGAATTGACTTCAAATGTGCATATTTTTAAGTGTTTATTTTACCCTGTAGGTGACCTGGAACGTAGTACACCAGGAGGTCAATACTGAGCCTTATGAGCCTTTTGAGGCAATCCCAGTAAGTCAAAATCATAATAAGCCATTTAAAGGTTTAATTTTCATTAACAAGATGGAGGTGATAAACCAGAACTATCTTGGAGCCAACTAATCCCATACAAAGTCATCATGGAATAAACTTTAGAATGGAAAACTTGTTTTATTTTTATTATTGGAAATTGAGAAGGGGTCCGAGGAAAAGGTAAGTTTTTCTAGCTCATTTATCTCAGAGTATATGTTAAGCACAATATAATTAAATAGAGGACCAACAATATAGGGGAAGATCCTCAATAAGATGGGTTGACACAGTGACTGTGATGATGAACTCAAGCATAGCAAGAGTTGTGAGGCTGACCGGGCAGTGTTTTGTTCTGTTGTACGTGGGGTTGCTGTGAGTCAGAACAGCCTTGATGGCACCTAACAACAATATTAAGCATGAATTAAAATTTATAATTAATGAGTGATGGAGGAAGGCATTATAGAAACCTTCACCAATTTAAGAATGGTTTAATTAAAAAATCTATTAATATAATTTACCATGCTAATATATCATAAGAGAATAATTATTTGATCAACTCCGTAGTTGCTGAAAAGGCATTAGATAAAATTCAGTGTCCTTTCTTGACTAAAACTCATTAAAATGGCAATAGATGAATGCTTCTCAGCATGTTAATATTTTTCTCTCTTAAGCCAAAAACAATCATCTTGCTTAAACATGAAATATCACCATTATTATTTATTATTATTCCAGAGATATTAGATGACACAGTTAGATAAGAGAAAGAAATAAAATTGGAGAGAAGAAGTTGTGTCATTATTTACAAAGGCTAAGAACATGTACCTGGAAAATCCAAAATGATCAACTGAAAACATATACCAAAATGTAATAGAATTCACAAGGGTGATTAGATACACAGTAAATAACATTTCCATATATATGAACAAGAACCTGTTAGAAGTATCTTAATAGAAAAAATTCCACAATAAATTGCATGGCAAAAATGTGTGTGTTTATATGTATATATATATACATATATAAAGTAAGCATATGTAAGTGTAGCATATAGACATGTACATGTATATATATAGATAACACACACATGGCATAAAAACATAGGTAGAGAACTAATTTACTTAGCATACGAAGTAAGAAAAAGATTAACATCCTGATGCAGAGATGAGAATGGATATGAAGAGACAGTCCACAATAAGAAAAGTATAGATGATTTTAAAAGATGCCCAGCCCCACTTCAGAAAAGAAAAACAGACAATTAACTTTATTGATCAGAATGTGGAATTTAAAAATGTAAGTTTCTGGGGAAGGCAATTTGGAATTCATCTATACACGGTGAGTACAACCATGGGCTCAGAGTAAAGAATTTGAGGCTGGCACAGGATGGGCAGTGTTCTGTTCTGTTGTACATAGGGTTGCTACGAGTCAGAGCCAACTCAGTGGCACATAACAACATACGAAGATAGAGACCGGTGAACAAGGATATTCCCAAATTTTTTTCAGCCATATTTGTAACAGCAAAAATTGAAGAAAGCTTAAATGTCCTTCAATATAGACTTAAAAAAAAAACAACTCAGTGCCATCGAGTCAGTTCCCACTCATAGCGACCCCTCCTTGGGTTTCTGAGGCGGTATCTCTACGGAAGTAAATTGCCCACTCTTCCTTCTGAAGAGTGGTTGGAAGTTTGAACCACCAGCCTTCTGGTTAGCAGTCAGATGCCTTAGGCACTATGCCACTAGAGTAGTTGAATAAATTATGCTACATCCATACAATGAAATATCACTTTGTCATTTTAAAATGAGGCAGTTCTATAATTACTAATATGGAATGATTTTCAAAACATATAGTTAAGTAGGAAAAAGTTAAGTTAGACCTTTGCATTGCCTGCTACTGTTTGTACTACAGCTTTATAGTTTTGTTGTTGTTAGGTGCTGTCAAGTCAGTTCCTACTCATAGTGACCCTGTGTTCAACAGAAGGAAACAGTGCCTGACCCTGAGCCATCCTCACAATCATTGCTGTGTGTCAGCCCATCGTTGCAGCCACTGTGTCAGTCCACCTTGTGGAAGGTCTTCCCCTTTTTCACTGACCCTCTACTTTACCCAGCATAATAATACTCTTCTCCAGGGTCTAGTCCCTTGTGATAACATGACCAAAGTACAAGAGACAAAGTGTGGCTGTTCTTGCTTCTAAGGAGCATTCTGGCTGTACTTCTTCCAAGATAGATTCGTTCATTCTTCTGTCAATTTTCAATATTGTTTGCTAAAACCACAATTCAAATGCATCAGTTCTTCTGCCATCTTCTTCTTCATCGTCTAACTCACACTATCAGGCGATTGAAAATACCATGGCTGGCATCTGGCCTACCTTAGCCTTAAAAGCGAATTTAAATTTATAGTTTTAGCCAATTATAAAAATCATACAGAACCCTTAAAATATTTTTGAATAGACAATACAGACAGTTATGAAAGAAAACTAAAAATCACCTACAGTCCCATTACCCATGTTTATTTGCATCTTCCCAGGCTTATTTTCACATTTGTGTATAAATAAGCAGTATTTTAAAAAATAAAATTTAAAAAGGAAATCTACGCACACCATATACGTTGCATTTGCAATTTGCCATCTTCACTTAGTATTTAATAGGCTTTTTTCCATGTTGGTAAATATGGATTTATAGCATCATTTTTAATGGATGTCTAATATCTCATTGTATGTATATATAATAGTTAATTTGACCAACTTCTTATCATTTAACATTTAGATTTTATCAACTGTTCATGCTTACAAACAGTACCAGAGTAAATATTTTTGTCTTTATATGTTTAAACCATATATATACTGAGTTACAAAATTGGTGTCAAGTTCTTATACTGTACTTACCTTTAAACCAGTTATAAGTTATATTCTATTGTTCAGCAAGTCATTGTTTTTGACCCTCAGGTAGGTATTTTCATCAGGGTTAAGAAAATTCACCAACTCTTTCCCAGATTTGCTCTTGGTTTCAGGACTTTGATTACTAGGACTTTGAGAAGTTGCCTAACTTCTCTGAGCCTCAGTTTTCTGATCTGTAGGAAGAAAATTATATTTCTCACAGAATTGTGAAGTTTAAATATAATAACATAGAGACAGTATTTACCTTTCTTCCTATCTCTGCTGGTGGTTTGGGACATATAAATTAATTCTTAATTCTAAGTTGCTGTTCATTGTGATCCTTTTGCTGGATTGAGACTGAAAACAGAACTAAATAAATACTTTTGCTGCTGGATCATAGTAAGGTTTAACCAGTTAATTTATTATTTAAATAGGGACTCTTCATAGTGCTAAATTACTGGTCTGAGCGGGCATAAATGGAGATTCTTGAATGCAAAGTGACGTATGTGGTCACCCTGGCCATAGTTCACAGTTCTCTGACTGATAATCCACAGAGTTTCAGATATTTGCTTGCCTGCATTTTTCAACTTGCTTATTAAGAGAAGTGGAAGAGGCCAAAGTGTTGGAGAGGCACTGGAGATGTAAAAAATGGACCAAGTTTGAGCTACTGGAATGGATAGAGTTCCAGCATGTGGCTTCCAAGGCCCCCATCACTGGGTTGGCCAGTCACTGCAGCTAGGAAGAGATGCCACTATCAAACTTATACCTCTTACAGATACAAGTGTGATTGCTTATAGCAGTATGAAACAGAATAGTTGGTGTGTTTTGTTGGATTTAAAAAAAAAAACTGGTCCATGAGACAGTTACATAACTGAAAACAATTTGCTGATAATATTTTAACTTGTCTTTTTGAAATAATCAGCAACTTTCTATATGAAACATTTAAAATTAGGGCCAATGTTGATACGTTCTGTTGTTTGTTGCTGCACATACATAATATATATAGTTTTTTAAACCTAATAAATAGTTCTTAATGTTAACTATGGAGGATAGCATTCATATCAAACTGTTGATCTCATAATTACTGAACCATTTCAGTACCAGTAAATATTCAGAAGTAAAATTGATGTCAACTGGACAGCAACAGCAATTATAGCACAGATTGAATTCCAATAATATGAATAACTATATTAAAACAATAGCTGCCTTTGCTAAACAATGCTTGGGAGTTTTTAATTTTTTGATTATTATGATATTTCCCTTGTAAGTTTTCATTTGCCTTTTATTCTTATTTTAAGAGTTAAGAACAAGATCAGAAAAAGGCATTTGTAACTATTTTTAATAGATAATTTTGTAATTTACTTTTAGGGAGATATTTCAAGGATTGAAAAGGAATATAAAGAACTACGACAGCAGCTGGAGAATGCCTATGAAAATTATGAACAGACAAGATTTAAGGGCTTAACAGAGATCAGAAGCCTGGAAGAAAAGTTGAAAAGAAACTCAGAACAAAGCAAGGTAACTCACTGTCTGAAGCCTCTCTTTAGTTGTAGATGCATAATTAGGAGAATACAGGTTTGACTGTGCTCGTACAAGCCTCAGTCACAGAGCTCTTCTGCGTTGTCGGCTAACAAAGAATTCTTTCTAGTATTGCCCATTTGGAGTTTCTTTGTGACATACTGAAGTGATGGGGTTTTCTGCAGTTTTTTTAGAACCTCTGTAAGTTGCCTGATAAGAAAGCTAAAAGGACTATAAATCTGATTTTTCATTTACTTGTAATTCAGTTTGCTTGGTTAACTAAAACTATTTTATGGTAACCAAGTTCCCAGTTAAAGTCTTTATCTTGAGAGGCAGCATAATGTTAGTGGTTCAGAGTGTGAGCTCTGAAGTCAGACTGGCTGGGTCCAAGTCCAGGTGGGGTTCTCCAAGTCCAGGTGGGGTTCTCTAAGTCCAGGTGGGGTTCTCCAAGTCCAGGTGGGGTTCTATACTAGTTCCGGTCTTGGGCACATTAGTTACCTTGTCTATCTATGCTTTAATTCCTCATCTGGAAAACGTGGGGAATAGTTTTTATTTTGTAAGGTCGTTGTGAGGATTAAATAAATTAACACTTACAAAGTACTTAAAACTGCCAGGTATATAATATAGTAAGAGCTTGGTAAGTATTGGCCACCACTGTTATTACCACTGTTATTTTCATCATCATCATCTTCATCTTAGTCCCAAGAAGTGTTGCAAGAATAGCTTACAGAGAGAGCTCAGGTATACTAGAACTTTAGTCTCCCAAAGCGTCTCATTTGCATCTACTGATCTTGAGTTCTGTTAGCTAAGATTATCAGTTACATATTGATTGAAATAATTATTACCATAGCCAGAAGTGAGGAAATCATGGTTTCTTTTTAGAAAACTACTGCCTTCTGTTCAGAGATAACTAAGGCTATTAAGTCCACTTTAGAAAGGGAGAATTTGTTCTAGAAGTCTAGATCAAAAGCAGGGGTAGCATATAAATAGAAACTTGGCTTACTGGGACCATAGTTAAAAAATCCATTTGTTGAGATTTAAGTATATCCAAAAGAAAAGGGTCAACTCACAAAGGTAGCTGTTGAAATGTTCCTCAGAACTTGTTTATACTCAGGATGGGACTAGGGAAATTTGAAGGCTGAGAGGAGTTGGATAGAACAGCAACTTTCTACCCAGCTCCTGGTTTGAGGAGTACTTCCTGGTTGGGAGATGAGAAAAGAGCAAACATTAAACTCTGTCCAGCAGAGTGACACATGGAACACATATTTGAATAAGCCACTTGTAGGGTTTAGCAAAATGAAATATTTTTGTAAACTCTATTGTCTGGGGAAAATTCTGTTTTAATAAAGCCATAGAGGGGAATACTTATGGCCACCTTGGATGGTTCCTGGATGGCGCAGACAGTTAAGCGCTTGACCGTTAGCTGAAAGATTTGACAGTTCAACCCATCCTGAGGTGCCTTGGAAGACAGGCCTGGCATTCTGCTTCTGAAATGTCACAGCTTTGAAAACTATGGAACACAGTTCTGTTCTGCATACATGGGATCACTCCAAGTCAAATTCAACTCAACAACAACTCAAAACAAATGGCCACCTGATTGAGTGGCAAGGGCACAAATTCTCAGAAGTGCCAGGCTTTGTGCTGGTCTTCTGGCCTTCGGTGCAGCATCCTCTTTATGAGGCCATAGGACATCATTTCTCTCTGCTGTCAGTGACTAGGTTTCTCCTGTGTGGCTACTTTCTCTTTATGTTATGGATACTGAGTTACCTAACTCATTGTATATTCTCTTTGGCCTTGTCTACCAGAAAGTTTCAACACTATCTATCTATCTATCTATCTAATCTATCTATCTAGTGCTTTAGGTGCAAATTTACAGAGCAGAATTTGTTTGACATTCAACATTTCATGTACATTTGGTTTCACTCCCCAGTTACCATTCCCAAACCTAACCCGCTCTCCTTCCCAGTAACCGCCCCCACCCAATACCCTTCATATTTATGCACTCCTATGTGTCCTGCTTTTCCTCTGTGTGAATGTTGCCCCTCTGGTGCCCCGTGGCCGATTGCTCCAAGGGATGGATCTCCATAGAGTATGTGGGTGCATCACCCTGGGTTGACTGGTCTGCGTGTGTGTCTTATTTACTATTGGACTGAGATCCAGGCCTTGGGAGTTTTATTCCAGGCCCAAAGTGTATCCCAGGGCCATAGTATTGAGGGTCCCACCAGACCTCATCTGACCAGTAATTCTTGTTGTTACAACCATCTAGTTCTTCTGGTCTCGAGATCCATCATGTCCTAGGGCTGATTGTTTCCAAATGCCCTTGATTTTTTTGTACTCTTCTTTGCTTCTGACAATAGGACATCATTAACTGCATCTTAGATGGCTGCTTGACAGCTTTTAAGACCACACTTACCAAAGTAGGTTGTGGAACAAGATTTTTATGTATTTTGTTGTGCCAGTTGAGTCTAGTGTCCCCCTATACTGTGATCCTGAGTCAGTAGATCCATCGGATCTCTCTCCCACAGTGTCTGGCAGTATGTCTGTCTTCTGTTGTTTCTGTAATGATTGAGGGTATTTTATATCACTGGTGTCTTTGCAAGATTACCTCAGCTGAATCTTCTCTTTGGTCTAGAGTATAATCCTGTTGATTGACCCCCATCTGATCTTCTCAGTTGTTTATGTGTTTATCTGTAGCCTGGTGTTTGGTGTTAATGGTAATGCAGTATTGTGAGTATACTGGTATTAGCCTCTGTCTTCTATATCTTACATGCACAATTTGGTGTCCTCCCTTTCCTCAATGTTATCATGCTGGTCACAGACTCTTTCCATACCATTCCTCCCCTTACCCACCTCAGCATGTGGCCCCCAACTAGCCTGAAATTGTTCCCTCCTCTCCTCAGTAACCTACAAAATGAGTTCCCTTCCTTAAGCAAACCCTTCCTTGGTCTTTTTACAGTAATGAGCTCATACAACATTTGTCCTTCTGTGATTGACTTATTTCACTCAGCATAATGTCCTCCAGTCAACACTATTTGTGACGAATGGCTGGGCCCTTGTAGTTCACTTCTTGTTGTTGTTGTTATGTGCTGTCGAGTCAGCCCGGACTCATAGCAACCCCTCCTTGGGTTTCCGAGGCAGTATCACTACGGAAGTAGGATTGCCCAACCTTCCTTCTGAGGCTGGGTTTGAACCACCAGCCTTCTGGTTAGCAGTCAAGTGCTTTAGCCACTATGCTACCATAGTTCACTTCTGGTTTTATATTATTATTCCTAACTTTTTATTCTGTCTTCTTTCTATAGTTAGCATTGTTTTTATCTTGTCTTTTTAAATTATATAAATGAAAATACTTCAAATACTTATTTTGGAACAAAATTGAGCATTTTGTTTTTTTTCCCAATATATATTTTAATTACCCACAACTAGTCCGAAATTTTCGCTCCCCTTCCTGCCCATCCCTGGTAACCAATAAAGTGAATTTCCTTCCCTAAGTAAAACTTGCCTTGACTTTTTACAATAATGGGCTGATACAATATTTGTTCTTCTGTGATTGACTTATTTCACTCAGCATTATGTGCTCCAAATTCATCCATGTTGTGAGATGATTTGCATATTCTTCATTATTCTTTAATATTACATAGCATTCTATTAGGTGAATGTACCATATGTTGGTTATCCATTCATCTGTTGATGGGGATTTAGGTTGTTTCCATCTCTTTGCTATAATGAATTGTGCTGCGATGAAAATGGGTGTGCATATGTCTGTTCATGTCCTGTCTCTTACCTCTTTAGGTTATATTCCTAGTAATGGAATTTCTGGATCCAATGGTATTTCTATTTTCAGTTTTTTAAGGAAATGCCATACCATGTTCCATAATGGCTGTACCATTTTGCAGTCCCACCAGCAGTATATGGTAGTTCCAATCTCTCCACAGCCTTGCCAGCATTTGTTATTTTCTGTCTTGTTGAACTTTGCTGTTATGGCTGGGGTGAGATGATAATCGCATCGTTTTGATTTGCATCTCCCTAGGAGTTCTGGTGGCATAGTGCCTAAGGCACTTGACTGCTAACCAGAAGGTTTGTGGTTCAAACCTACCAGCCACTCGTTGGAAAGAAGATTGGGCAATCTATTTCCGTAGTGATACTGCCTCAGAAACCCAAGGAGGGGTCTATATGAATCGGAAATGACTCGACGGCACATAACAACAATAATATCTAATGATTGTGAGCATTTCCTTATGTGTTTGTTGGCTACCAGTGAAGTAATCTGTCGATGTCCCTTGCCTGTTCATGTCCCTTGCCCATTTTTGAATTGGGTTGTTTGTCTTTTTGGTGTTGAGGTATTAAGTTTTCTATGAAATTTGGAGATAAATCCATTGTCAGATATGTAGATATGTTGTAGCCAAATATTTTTCCCAATCTAGGTTCTCTTTTTACCATTTTGGAGAAATCTTTTGATGCACATAAGAATTTAATTTTTGAAAGGTCCCATTCATCCAGCTTCTCTTCTAGTGCCTGTGCGTTTTGGGTTATGCTTGGTAGTCTATTTATGCTGTAGATTAGGGCCCCTAGATTTGCCCCTGTTTTATCTTTGATGAGTTTTATAGTTTTGGGTTTTACATTTACGTCTTTGATCCACAAAGTTGAGCTTTTAAAAAAAGAGACATGAAAACAGAGTTTTTCTAATTGAGAAAAAGACCACCAGAAAGTGTTTATGGTAGCTCAATAAGCTCTGCATATAGAAGCTTGTTCTTTCTTTTATTCTGGTGTCTGGAAGAGAAGAGCTCAGGAGATCATTATCTTTCATGCAGTCAGAGACAAGTTCATGATAGTTGATTGGGTTAGCATTGTGAGACAGCTAAGTCATGAAAGGATGGTTAGTATAAATAGCAGATGAAATCATGTAGCATTTTCAGTGACTGAGCTAGAAATATGTAATGTGTAATACTCTGTGCCTTTTGATACCTGAACTCTTTTAGGTACTTGTTGCCAAGTAGGTTCTT